TACAACTTTCAAAAATCCTGGGTTGCTAGAAATTTCTAATATTGAGCAGCAATCCCTCTTCTCGAAGTCTTCTTACTGTGGTTCTTGAGAGTGGACACATTGCTTCTTACTCATCTCATAAGCCTAGGGTCTGGCTTGCCATGGACTCTCAAATCTTGGATGGATGGATGGATGGATGGATGGATGGATGGATGGATGGATGGATAGATGGTGAACGGATGGATGGATAATGGATACCTAGATGGATAGAGGGATGATAAGTAGATGCATAGATAAATAGAAGGAAGGAAGGAAAGGGAGATAATTGATACTTTGCATGAACTCCATAAATAACTGCTAAATAAGAACACAGCACATTTCTGGGGAAGATGGCTTTCCGAGGTGGAAGATAACTTCCTTAGATAATAATTTTGTCATGCAGTTTCCTTTCTTCTTCTTTCTGCCATCATCTGATCACAGTGTTGGAATACAAGTCTTGGGCCTGACAGGACAGGCCTTAGTCACCTAGACAATTTGGCAACATTTGTGACTAAGCACCCTGCCTCCCAGTAGCCTGTATGCCCTTCCTCACTTGACCTTTGACAGTCCACTTGAAGAAAGACATTTTTCCTGCTGACTGAGATGCTTCTCTGGCATTCCCTTCATCCCCTGCTGCCTCTGTTGTGTCAACAAAAGAAGAAACTTCTGAGAGAGGTGTTGTTTGTGGCAGAGAACTTGGCTGTGCAGAAGGCTAGGGCTATGCCTTCCCTGCCAGCCTTGGGAGCCCTGACCCTGCTCCCCTGTGAACCCAGATGACTCTGGGCAGTGGTTCATAACCTGCTTGTTTAAACTCTTGTGGGAATCTGATGAAAGCAGTGAATTATCTCTCCAGAAAGATGCCCATGCTCCCAGATATGCTCTGTCACTTGTGCTCATGATTTCAGGAAGGCTGTGAACGCCCAAAGCCTGCCTGGGAGCCCTGGGTAGAACCTGTCCTCCTGGGATCAAAATCTCCTGCTGCTGTGGGATGTCATGTGGACATTTTTGGGGTCTTTCTCCTACATGGTCTCAGGATTTTTTTTTTTTTTTAGAGATGGGGTCTGGCTCTGTCACCAGGCTGGAGTGCAGTGGTGCAATTATATCTCACTGCAGTCTTGAAATCCTGGGTTTAATAAATCTTCCTGCCCCAGCCTCCCAAAGTGTCACCACATCCCGCTAATTTTTAAAACGTTTTTATAGAGATGGGGGGGTCTCACTACGTTGCCCACGCTGGTCTCAAACTCCTGGCCTCAAGCAATCCTCCCACCTTAGCCTCTCAAAGTGCTGGGATTACAGGCCAGAGCCACTGCACCCAGCCATCAGGACATTTTTTAAACTTTTTATTTTGAAGTAACTTTAGAGTTACAGAATGTTGCGCGAGTAGTCCTGGGAGTCCTAAGTCCTTCCCAACCTCCTATATCGCGGATGTGCTGCGTGACCATGCCAACCAGTCAAAACTCAGACCCTAGCCTTCCTTACTGCTCCTATATTCCCAGCAGCAGCTCTTCCCTGTCCAGGATCCCACCACATTCCTCCTGGCCTTTGGTGGTCCCATGCCTCAGGCTCTTTGGCTTCCTTACCCTCACGCCCCAGGACAAGGGGAGGGCGTGGCCAGGCTCCACTTGGGCTGTGCACATTGGGTGAGAGTATCTCAAAGGTGGGACATGGTCAAGTCTCCCCACACGTGGTCCCTTTGAACTTGGTCATGGTTTCAGCTTTCGGGCAGACTCTCTGCAGGACATACCGTCTCGTGTTTTCTGGCCTGTGGTTTGGTAGCCACAGGGACCTTGTAGACAGGCTTTCTGTTCTGGGTTCTGAGCCAATAGAAGACCTGCTTTAGGGCCCTCAGAGGTCCTACCATCACATTTGGCATAAAGAGAAACTGAGGCCAATTAGTTGGTGGCAGGACTCAGCAAGAATGAGTTCTTTTCTCTGTAAGCAGAGGCCCTGGATTTTACCTGCCCTCCACTGGAGTGTGTCCAGCTAGGCTTTGCTGAGTCCTGATAAGCTGGAATCTGCAGGCCCTTGTGGCAGGCAGGGCCCAGTGAAGCAGAGGGTACAGCCCTAGGTTGCCCCCTCTTATCTCTCAGGGCAGGAAGGAAGGGCTGTCCCCTGCAATCCTGTGGAGTCAGCTGGCCCCAGGGGAGGCAAGCTTGGGTGTGGGGTGTCAGGGCTTGGGATGCCCAGGCTAAAGAAGGGTCACCGAAGGAGGCAGGTGGGGAGGGCAGCCCGGCCACTGAGGGCTTCAGGAGCACTCCCTCCCAAGTTACCCTGAGCAGGAGGGGAGGGGCAAGGAGGCAAGGGCTGAGGCCGTCCTGAGAAGTAGGGAGGGATGGCCTGAGTCCTTTCAGATAAGGACGGAGCTCTGAAGAGAGTGGGAGGGGCAGGGTGAGTATCCAGCCCACGTGTCCATGGGTCCAGCCAAGGCCCCTCCAGGCCCCATTTGTGAACATAAGTTGTATCAGGGGAGGATAGGGCCGGGGCTTCTTGTGTCTTGGGGAGGTGTGGAGGTGGGGTTATCTAGTTGCCTTTGGGAAAGGGGGTCATGGTGGGGGGTGTCCTGGGTCCACCAAAGATGCACATAGTGTGGTGGCCTGAGTGCCTTGGAGGGGGGTCAGGCCTTCCTGACTCCTTACCCAGTCCAGGACTCCTGCCCTTCCCTCTGACCCCAGAAAATACCTTTGGGATGCCTAGTGCTCCAGGCTGGAAGTCAGGAGGGAAGAGTCATGGCAAATGGCCCTGGTGGAGGAGTGGCCGCCAGGTATGCTGGCCACTGCCCTGCTGCTACCCACAGAGCCAGGCATGCCGCAAGCACAGCAGAAGCTGAGGAAGGAGTCCAAGGGGAGGACAAAAGGCCGAGTATGGCTGGACACCAGGGAGGAGTCAGCCTTGCAGAATCCAGGAGGGGGTGGACACCGCCAGAGGGGCACCGCTAGAGCTCAGCCTGCAGCGTGTGTGCATGTGGGTATGCAGGTGTGTGCATGCATAGATGTGTGAATATGTGTAAATGTGTATACATGTGTGTGTACATTCTGTGTGTCTCTGTGTGCCTACATGTGTGCAAGCTTGTTTGTATGTGTACATGCATTGTGTGCATGTATGTTTGTATGCATGTGTGTGCATGTGTGAATGTGTGTGCATGCACTTTGTGTATATATGCATTTGCATGTATGTGAATGTGTGTGCGTGTGTATGTATGTGCATGTGTGCTTGCATGTGTGCGTGTGCATGTGTGTGTAGGTGGGAGAGAAAACAGAAGGCTGGGCTGCCAGTCCCTCCTAAGAGCCTCTTTGGGTCCAGCAGCAGATAGACTCAGGGAGAAGAGCCAGGAGGAGAAGAATGTCTGGGAGATCTCAGGGATACCTCAGGAGGCCGGAGGGCCAGTGGGACCAAGGCTGGGTTTCCAGCGTGGACAACCTCTGGCCAGTAGGCAGAGCCCTTCCAGAGCTGGCAGTGGGTGGTGGGCATGAAAGAAATGGAGGATTTCTTGCTGGGCTGGTATTGGGTGCACAGGGTTCAGGCACACCTTGGGCAGGGTCCCAGGGAGGGAACGGGGCAATCGAGGCCTGCAGGGGGCCATCAGGGGAGTGTGGGCATATCCACCGGAGAGTGAGTGGAAGCAGGATGGAGGGGTGGGGGGCCTCTGCCAACTGGAGGGGAAGCCAGTGGAAAGCCTGGCCTCAAGCACACTCTGCTGTGTGCCCTGGTGCAAGAGCAACATGCACTTTCCAGTGGTGGCCATATGTGGAGTTGACTAGGCCATGCTCGTGTCTGGTGTGTGCACATGCTCACCTGACTCCCCACCCACTCCCTGCTGCCCACTGGGCTTTTGGGCATGCACGGGCCTGGGTGCCATCCTCCCAGGGCCCTCCAGGACAGCCTGCACCCCTGCTTGAGCCTGTCTCCCCAGGAGGAACAATCCATGGGTGCCCAGGCGGGGTAGGGAGATCCCAGTGCCTGGTGACGACTCTCTCATGACCCCAAGGGGCCATTAGGAGCCTCTGCCCAGGAGAAGCTGGGGACATCATGGGGCATAGCCCTGTAGCCCCACCTTGTCCCTGGGGGAGGTACCTGGCTGTGGGGGCGCCTCATGGCCTCCTTTCTATCCTCAAGGTGGGGCCTCTTTCCTGCTCCCTTCCCCCTATTTCCAGTCCAAGGCCTTGAAGAGAGAGGGCAGAGATTCTGGGGAGCATGGCAAAGCAGCCCCAGAGGCAGCCAAGGTCTAGGACCAAGCCTGTGGGGCTCCAAATCCTGGAGTGGGTTTCTGGCTTGGCTTGCCAAATTCCTGCTATCAGTTGGTCAGGTTTATGTCCATTTAACTCCCTGCTTTTTCCCCAGCTCTGAATGCAATGCTTGGCAAACAGCATGTACTCTGTCCGCCAGTGTCAGATGGTGGTCAAAGTCAGAGTCTGGCTGTTACTCAAGCTGGAGTGCAGTGGCGTGGTCATACCTCACCACAGAGCTGACCTCCTTGGCTCAGGCGATCTTTCTGACTCACCCTTCTGAGTGGCTGTGATTACAGGCGCGGCTGCCACGCCTGGCTAATGTTTTAGTTTCATACTTATGGGGTCTTGCTATGCTGCCCAAGCTGGTCTTGAACTCCTCCTGGCCTCAAGTGATCCACCTCAGCCTCCCCAAATGTTGGGATTACAGGCACTGCACCCAGCCAATGCTGATTGTTACAAAGACCCTGGCATCTCCCCTCCCTTTCTCACCTCCTCTCTCCCATGTGATCTGCACACACAGGCACCCCTTCTCCTTCCGCCACAAGCGGAAGCTTCCTGAGACCTCATCAGGGGCAGACGCTGGCACTATGCTTTCTGTGCAGCCTGCAGGACCGTGAGCCCAAGGAATCTCTTTTCTTTATGATTCCCCAACCTTGGTTATTCCCTGACAGCAGCTCGTACGGACAAAGACACCCACCCTGCTCATGACAGCCCTCTGGGAGCCCTACTGACCTTGCGTCTCTCCTCTCTCCGTAGCCACCCGGGAGTCGGCCTTTGTCCATGCTATTGCCTCGGCTGGCGTGGCCTTCGCAGTGACACGCTCATGCGCAGAGGGCACAGCTGCTATCTGTGGCTGCAGCAGCCGCCACCAGGGCTCGCCAGGTGAGGGCTGGAAGTGGGGCGGCTGCAGCGAAGACGTCGAGTTTGGCGGGATGGTGTCAAGGGAGTTTGCTGACGCCCGGGAGAACAGGCCGGATGCCCGCTCGGCCATGAACCGCCACAACAACGAGGCTGGGCGCCAGGTAGGTCCTGGGCAGAGGACCTTCCTGGGCGTGTGTGCCTGGCCTTGGGACACGTGACCTGCTGGGGAGGAGTGATGATGGGGCAGGCCCACTTGCCTCCCACCCAGTGCGTTCCTGCAGGATGGCCAGCCCACCTGCGGGCCTGGGAGGCCAAGAGGGAGGAACAGCTAAGGACTTGCCTGGTGGCCTCTGCAAAGGTTGGAGAGGAAGAGGGCCATATGCCATGAGGAGTTCTGCAGTGAGGAGATGCAAGTGACCAGGCATCATGGCGGCTGGCAGTTTTCAGGTGGGGGAGGCTGGAGTGCTGCTCCGGCAGCAAGTGGTAAACCTAGGTAGAATATGAGTGCAAGGGGAGGAGAAGGGTCCTCAGATGGACATCAGCCCAGCCTGGCCTGTGAGGAACTTCCTGTGTTCTAGTTCACTTGTGCTGCTGTAACAAAATGCCTTAGATGGAATAGTCTATAACAATAGAAGCGTATTACTCATCGCTCCGGAAGGAGGCATCCAAGATCACAGCCCCAGCAGTTCCAGATCTGGTGAGGGCCTTTTCACAGTTGGGGCTTTCTGGGTCCTCATATGGTGGAAGGGGTGAGAATCTCCCGGGGTCTTTTATAAGGGCACAGATCCCATTCATTACCTAATCTCCTCCACTGTGACCTTGGGGGCGAGGATTTCAGCACGTGCATTTTGGTGGCACACAAACATTCAGACTGCAGCACCTTGCTAAGAGGACATGTCAGAAGGTCGAAGGACAAAGAGAGGAGGAATCACTGCTGCTGCACAGTGGCAGGTGTAAGGACTAAGTAGCATGTGGTGGATTTAGGAACACAAAGATGACGGCTAGCCTGGGTCAGTAAACTCGGGGGATTGCAGAGGGTTGAAGAGAGAACATGAGACACTCATTTTCCAACAATGAGGAAGTAGATAAGTAGACTGACTGCTCAGACTAATCTACAGAAGACAGCTTTAGATGCAAGATGCAATATAAAACACACCCTGTCAAAAATGTAGAATTGCACATGCATATTGCTGCCCAGTTCATACAGAGGAGCTCGTGCTGTTCTGTGGTAGGGATGAGCTTTTCAGTAAATGGTGCTCCATTGGTTAGGTGGTGCTGTGGCCCCAAATCCCATGTGTTAGGCTGGGCGAGGTGGCTCACGCCTGTAATTCCAGCACTTTGGGAGATGGAGGTGAGAGGATTGCCTGAGTCCAAGGGATCGAGACCAGCCCGGGCAACTGGCAAGACCTTGTCTCTACAACAAATCAACAAATTACCTGAGCACAGTGGCACATGCCTGTAGTTCCAGCTACTTGGAAGGCTTAGGTGGAAGGATCACCTGAGCCCAACAGGTCTAGGCTGTGGTGGCCATGAATGTGCCACTGTACTCTATCCTGAGCGACAGAGTGAGACTCCTACTCAAAAAACAAAAACAAAATCCATGTGTTGAAAACTCAATCCCCATCGCAACAGGGTTTGGAAGTGGGGCCTGATGGGAGGTGTCAGAGTTCCACCCTCATGAATGGATTAATGCTGCTGTCAAAAGGGATTATGGGAGTGGTCTCTCTCCTCTCTCCTGCCACGTGAGGACACAGTTTCTCCCCTCTGGAGGACAGGGCAGTCAGGGCACCATCTTGGAAGCAGAGAAGCCAGGCCTTAACTTGCCAGTGCCTTCATCTTGGATTTCCCAGCCTCCTGTGAGAGAATGAATTCAATTACCCAGTCTTGGGTATTCAGTTGTAGCAGCACAGGATAGACTAAAACAGATAGCAGTATGAAAGGAAATTAATCTTGACCCCCTACCTTACACCGTCTATAAAAACCAATTACAAATCCAAAAGGGAAAGGTAAAACAATAAAACTTTTTAAAGAAAGCATAGGAGAATATATCTGTGAGCTTAGAGAAGGCAAAGATGTCTTAAACAGGCCAAAAAACCAGTCATGATGAAAGAAAATTGAAATAATAGGAACTATATTTAAATTAAGAACTTTTGTTCATAAAAAGATGATGCCATGGAAGTGAAGGGCAACCCACACAGGAAAACACACTCATGCACATAAAAGCTATAATATACAAAGAACTCTGGAGCCAGGTACAGTGGCTCATGCTTGTAATCCCAGCACTTTGGGAGGCCGAGGTAGGCGTTTGAGACCAACCTAGGCAACATAGCAAGACCTTGTCTCTACAAAAAATTAGCTGGTCCTGGTGGCATCCCTGTAATCCCAGCTAATCAGGAAGCTGAGGCAGGACTACCTAAACCCAAGAGATTGAGGCTATGGTGAGCAGTGATTGGACCACTGTATTCCAGCCTGGGTGACAGAGTAAGATCCTGATTCAGAAAGAAAGAGACAAAGAGAGAAAGAAAAGAAGTAAGAGAACTCTAAAAATCAAGAAAAAGAAAAGAAAAGAAAAACAACCCAATAGAAAAGTTGACTGAAAAACTGAAAGCCACTTTTTGAGAGAAAATATAGCAATGGCTAATACACACATATGGTGCACAGTGTCATGTGAAGTGCTGCTAGAATCTATACCGTGGGGAGGCAGAGAGCAGAGGTTTCTGAGGAGCTGGTGCCCTGGTAATTTGTGAGATTTGCATCTTTTGCACATATGTATATTACACCTCTGTAAAATGATTCTTAAGTGTCAAGTAACCAACCATCTAGTGAGGAATTAGCAGTCCTTGATCCAGAAAAAGACAGACCCTGAGTCGGGATCTGGGGCAGCTTGCAGATCTGAAAGAAACTATGGAGGTTGAACTTCATTTCTGGGCAGAATCACAGAGATAACCCCCCACCCCACACACAGGGATGAGAGCTCTAATAAATCCTCCCTCAGGGTAGGCTGGCACCCCAAGAAATAAAGGAAAACCAGAAGTCAACCAGCCCTTGTGCACATGTGTAGACTATAAATGTCTCAAGATTGGAACTTGGATTAAAGTGATACCAAACTGCTGGTATTCCCATGCTCCTAGAAAAGCAGACACAACCTCTTTGGAGGCCAGGCACAGCGGCTCATGCCTGTAATCCCAGCACTTTGGGAGGCTGAGGCAGGAAAATCGCTTGGCCTTGGAGGAAGATGATAACCTTATTCTAGGCCTCAAAATTTTTCTACAAAAACTTTTCAAACACAACGTCCAAGACACAATCAGAGATAGCTTGTCACATGACACAATGAGTTTAATCAACAAAAACAACAGAAACAAGTCCACGGGGACTCCAGATCCTGGAATTAATAGACAGATTTTGAGAGGAAAATACTTATGTTCACAAAACTAAAATGCAAATGTGAACATTTCAGCAGGAAACTAGAAACTATAAAAAGAATATGACAGATTTGGTCAAGAATCACATGGAAGTTGCAGGGCTGAAGAATAAATGGGGGCTTTCAGTTAGAAATGACCAGCTGAACAAAAGTACCTCCATCTGTACCATCCTGGAACCCCAGCAAAACAGCAGTAAATTACGTTTTAGACAGAGCAAGAGATGATAGAGCAGTAGATAGAGAGATAGAGATATGAGAGATATAAATAAAGGTAGATAGATAAAGATATAAATAAACACAAATATATAAATAGGTTAGATAAGATAGAGATAAACAGATATAGATGGATATAAATAGAAATTATAGAGATGGGTAGATAAATAGATGATAGAGATATAAATAGATTAGATGGATAGATAAATAAGAGAGATATAAATAGGAATAGATAGATACTCATAAGAATATGAAACACAGAAGAGGAGACAATGGTAACAAAACTTTGAAAGCTGAAAAGCAGGTGATGAATACTCAAGTTGTCCCAAGAAAACTGAGTCTAAGCCAGTAGAGGAGAAATCTGAAACCCAGTCCAAGAATTTCTATTATCTGGTGTCTCGAGTAGTTGAGGCAAATACTTGATTGAAAGCTTATTCAAGAGCACCTTGCCACTCATTTCTCTGCCCAGTTTCTCATAAGCAGGCAGCAGCCTTTCCCTCTACCATGCTGTAAGTCTGGAGGTCTCTGGTCTGTGGGACACCAAGTACGTCAAGGGTGGGGCCACCAAAGTGAAAACAGTCTCTCTGCAAATAGAAGTTTATACAGCACCTCTCTTCCTGATCTCCTAGTGCTGGCAATAAGCCGCAATTATCCTTCAGGCAGGAGAATGGGAGATTCTACTCCAAGGAATCTGACCAACTCAAAATAAGAGACTTCAAGATACTGACGTCCCCAATGAAACAACGCAGCTAGATCACTCTGTAGTAATGACTTAAGTTGACAAGCTCCTCCCATTCACAGGAGCTCCCAACAGATTTTAGTGTCCTTCTTTTAAATATAAGCAAGCAGCAGAGCCACAGACCTCTGAGGAAAGAAAGCCTCTAACAACAATGGGAAAGACCAAAACAAACCAACAAAAATCATGTGCATGGAAGAAAGACCCTGTAAAGAAAGAGGAAACTTCAAAAAAACTATCATTGATTTCCTCAAGGAAATTAAAACACCAAATCTATGACATTGCAACAGAATATTCATTTTAAAGAGAAAAAATAAGAGTGCTTAGAAATTAAAAATATGATAATAAAAGCAAAAATCTCAGGAGAAAGTTTGGAAGATAGTTGAGATCCTCCCACAAAGTAGGAAAAAAGGCAAAGAGGTGAAAAATAGGAGAAAGCAGATTTGGAGGATCTGGCCAAAAAAAGAATATGATGGAAACAAAGAGGAGGAAGCCAGTAAAGACATGAGACCAGAAGGTCCCCAGAACTGAAGAGCATAGGCCTCAGGCCAAACGGTCCCATAAGTGGTTGGAACAGCAGAGGGAAAGGACCACATTCAGACATACTGTTGGGAAATTCAGAGCTATGATGCAGGGAGGCCTTCCATACTTCCAAGAACAAAGTTTGGGCTTCAGGATCAGGAATCAAAATGACATTAGACTTTTCAGGCACAACAATGAAAGCTGGAAGAGAATGGAGTGATTCTTTCAGAATTTTGAGAGGTAGAAATGATTTTTAATCCAAGAATGTTAATATCCAACAAAGCTATCAATGAAATGAGATAATAGAAAAGATTTGTTTTCAGACATGCACAGTTCACAAAATTTCCAAGACCTTTTCTGGTGAAAACATATCTCCAAGAAGATGAAATTTATAGTATATGTGATGTGTCTGAACATCTTGTAGAGGATATTTAGACGGTTAAGGGAGAATTGGGGGCTGAACCAGTGACGTGCGTGTTAACAACAGAAACCAAAAAAAGTCAAGTTGGGAAGGAAGAGTCATCATAATATATCACTTGACTCAGTGGAATGACATTTAACTCTGGCAATACTGAGTGGAGTATGACAATTAACTCTGACAATACTGTCAGAGTGAATATTGGTCTGAAATTATGCTGGTGTTTAGGGTGGTAAGTCTTGTAGTTGGGAAGTGTGCATCAGAGTGGTGGGTAGTAAGAGATGAACTCCCATCCTTCATAGTGAGAGTCCCGTAAGTAAGACCAAACACTGAAAAATCAAGAAGTAATGAGACAGGTATGTTATTAGAGCTGTAGATGTGGCAAGGGACTGTATGTGGGACCAGAATTCCTGTTCTTCTCTACAAGTCTTGGAAACTATCACACTCTTTAAAGTAGGCACCAGCCAGGCTCGGTGGCTCAGCCTGTAATCCCAGCACTTTGGGAGGCCGAGGCGAGTGGATTGCCTGAGCCCAC